CAGGTATAAATTTCTAAAAGAATGGAGGTGGGTCAAAAAAATATATGTTGGGGGAGTGTTGGTAATTTATGTCTGGTGAAATGCACAAGATAGATGGCAGTTCAAATTTCACAATCTTTTAATAACACTGAAGATGTAATTAAATTCATACAATCATGTAATGACATTGGAAGTACATTTTTTAATGGCATCTGACATAACAGGAGTAGTTATCTAGCAAATAAAATGTCTTACCAGTGGGCTGCAGAGAAATTTTGCATTTCGTACAACCCTCCCCCCCTTCCCCCTTAATAAATAATTATGACCAGTCCCTTACGACTTCAGGAGTACTAGGAATGACAGTATATCAATACTAAATTAACTGAAATTATCATGACGATTCAATGTGATAATTTGTAAGTAGCAACACGAATGAGATAATGACACCAACCTTTCATAAACAGTGCAAGTGGTCCACTACTCAATCTACTATGAAGCTCCATGAATTCACGATATCTTCTTTTGATTGCCCGTCTATGATGAAAAGACCTTTTCTGTTGTTCTTTAGAATTGTCGTCATTGCCCTCTTGTTGATTTTGTTTGTCCAGTTCTAGCAATGACGCATACACACTAGGCCATATACGTATATCATACTGAAAGAGAGATTTCAGAATGAAACAGTGTCAACATAGAGGACAAAACAATGCCAAATGAGCAGGTAGACACTATGTCCAGCAGAAGACCGAGGGCAGTGTTTTCCCATACGGACCGACCTATAGCCGGTAAATAACATTTTTATTTTTTTTATTTGTTTTATTATGCAACTTTGCTCGCAGCCAAGCTGCAGGATACCGTCGGACCAGGCAGATCGTAAAAAACTGGACCGCGCGCTAGCCAATCAAAGCGCCCAAATGACTAGGATACCGGACCGAAAAAAAAAAAAATGAATAGCCACTCTCTTTCATCTCAGCCTCTCTTTTCATTGTTTTTCTTGATTTTCCATTTAATAGGAAGATATTAGTGTCTTTTCTTTAAAAAAAACACATACAACAACATGAGATCTAAGTTTCAATCTTGAGACCAGGAGATGCAATCCAAAATCTGGAGACTCCTGGCTTATCCAGTAATGACAGCCTTTATATCTAGAAGATCTTCATCTTGTAAGAGAGCAATTTCCTCCCTCAGTTTCAATAACCTATTTGGAAAGCTTCACACAGCTGCAATATTATGACCTAAGGGTACATGTATATTCAATATAATTGTAAATATAATACTTCCACCTTTTAAGTACTAATTACTAATCTATTCTTAGCTTTTTTATAATTATATTATTTCTAAAACTTATCTTTTTATAATACAAATACAGCAATATGCAGAAATTGTGATCAATTTGACTCATATTCC